GAGAGTCACTTTTCCAAGTCCCTTTCCAGCCAGTCCTCTGCCCCAAAAGCTCTCCCTCTTGGCTCTGTTTCAGGGCCATGATACCACTGCTTCTCCTCCTGTCTGCTTGAGTTTCCTGCTACCTTCTCTGCTTGATTGTGTTGAGAGAGATGCTGACCTCCATCAAACAATAGACAGGGAAACCTCTCTGCCCACACAGCTCAGTTTCTGCCCAGCTTTGCATATGGCCTGTTTGATGGCAACTGCCATAGCAGGGGTGGGGAACCTTTTTTGGGTTGGGGGCTGCTGACCCACAGAAAAATCAGTCTTGGGCTGTGCACAAGTGAGAAGCAAAAACAAAACCAAAGAAACCCAAACCTTCACTGGCATGGCCCCCAACTGAAAGATACTCCCCACATTCCGCTAGCACACCAGAGCGTAGCTGGGCTCAGGCTAGTAGATTTGGGGTGTTCCAACTCCATGGGAGGGTGGCAGCAGGGGGAAGGCTGGAGTACACCACAGGCTCCCCAATGCTGGGGGGGAAGAGCCCTGAGCTTTAGAGGCTGGATCCAGGCAAGCCAGGGGCTGCATCTGGCCTCCGGGCCTTATGTTCCCCACCCCTGCCCCATAGTTTTAACTGCCTTTCTCAAAAAAGGAGTTTAGCTGCTTCTTACATTGATCCTGAATGAAGGGCAACTGTTATGAGGCTTCAGCAACCGCCAAGGCTCCATCCAAATGACAGAACTGTCAGGCTGGATTCCTCTCCTAGCCAAACATCCTGTCACGGGGCGAAGGCTAAGTGCTGCAGCGCTGTTTGAATGGTAATTGCTCCCAAAGAATTCCTGCTTAGCCAGTTCTCCTCAGGACTCAAGGGAGGGTAGTGCCAACCCAGCCTTTCAAAAGCGGCTTTTCCCAGTCTCTGGGGAGGGAGCTGATCCTGGAAGGGTTAGCTACATCATTGGCGGATGTCCTGAAGAGCTCGTCCTGGCACCTGACAGGAGCAGACACTTTATTCTCCAGGGCCTGCTCCACACTTCCCAAGGATGAGAGTTCCCCTTTGCAGAGAGTCAGTGTAACCCACACACCTAGGCTATGTCTACACTCGCGGCTTCTTGCGCAAGTACGGCCGTTCTTGCGCAAGAATCCGCAGAGCGTCTACACTGCCCGCCAGCTCTTGCGCAAGGAAATTTACAGTACGGCGTGGTAAGAGAGGGCTTCTTGTGCAAGAGCTACGCTCTTTCCTAACAGGTGTAAGCCCTCTTGCACAGGAGCTCTTGCGCAAGGGGGCAATGTGGACGCTCGGCAGGGATTTCTTGCACAAGAAAGCCCTATGGCTAAAATGACCGTCGGAGCTTTCTTGCGCAAAAGTGCATCTATACTGGGACGGATGCTTTTGCGCAAAAGCATCCATGCCAATCTAGATGCTCTTTTGCGGAAAAACTTTTAACGGAAAAAATTTTCCGTTAAAAGTATTTCCGCAAAATCATACCAGTCTAGATGCAGCCTCAGTTAGGACTTAGACATAGCATCCTTGGGTGCTCTTGGGCAGAAAGCAGCCTTAGGCTGGGGCAGAGAAGATCAGTTGCCTGGTAGGACAGGTCTGTGGCTGAGTATCTCTCTTGCTGGGATCTATTGCTTATATTTACCGTGCAGGCTTCCAGCCTTTGTGCTGAATTTAGCCTTCTCCTGCCATCCAAGAGTACCTCCAGAACATTCCAGCTTAATGACAGTCAATATTTGTTCTACTATCTATTCTTCCCAGCAAGCCTCCTGTCCCCCATGGGATTGTCCTGGTTGGGAAAGCGCTCATAGTTACTGTCCGGGGAGGGTGTGTCATTCACCTGCAATCCCAGAAGAAGGTAAGCAGAGGAAAGGGAAGTATCTGCTGACTTGCTACCTCTGACGCAGAGAGGGCCAGCATGGATCAACCTAGAAGAAATTGCCCTGTTTCAGCTAGGTCTGTGTACCAAAAGAGGCACAGACCCCCTCCCCTCCAGGCAAGAACATTTAATCCTTTACATAAACAGTTTGACAGTGGACTTCAGCGTAGAGAGGGTTAAATTCAGCCTTGATGCAAGTGCCTGGAGTCCATGGAGATAGAGGAGGGCTAGTGTCTTTAAGCCAGAGAAGTTGGGTGCCCAAAAGAGCAGGTGAGTCTGGGCTAAGGAGCTGCAGATTCTTAGGCTGCTGTTGAATTTAGGAGTGATGCTGGCTGAGACAGAGCAATGAAACTGCTCAAAACTGCTCAGAACGGGAAAGGCAATGAATTTTTACTGCAGCTTGGCTGTTTCATGATCAAGGAAGAATAAGAGCATGCTGGAGGGTGCATTTGCCAAACCAAGATGATCTCCATAGAGCAGATGAATGGAAACAGTGGAGGTTTCTCCCACCCGCCCTCTGCCATTGCAAAAGTTTCTGCTGTCAGCAACCAAGCCAGATTCACAGGCAGCAAATAAAGTCTCAGCTCTTCAGGAGTGGCTCTCTCTCACCTGTGTCCATGCCCCCAGCTGGCTTCTGTCCTCTCCCCACATACCCTAAAGTTGAACTGAAGGACTCTTCTGTCCTGGGAAGGTGGGGATGTTTGTGAGAGGTGTTGAATACTTAGCCTGAGAATCATCATCCAGGCTTCTGGTCTTAAATGACCCAAATGCTCTGTTTCCATTAGAAAGTCTTCTGTGCAGTCCTCTTTCATGTGGCCCACCGGCGCATCAGCTGCTTGTGTTACTGTAAGTGGAAAATGGGGAAAGAGATGTAGGCAGCGATTCCTGGGGCAGTCAGAGAAATCACCCTCTCAAAGGCCCAGGGATTTCTAGGTTGTGAGATGGATTAATCAACTCTTACCCTGGTTGCACACTTCCTCACAGAGTTCTTGGCAAGAGTCTGCCTTGTTTAAAAATCCCCTCCTTCCTCCAGAGCGGAAATGAATATTAAAAACAAATGGCAAACAGTCAGGTTATGATGTGAGACTAGGTCCCAGCATTCAGTGGGTAGCTCTGTGTGACTACAGTGGTGTTGGGTCCAATCTCTGCTAAGCAGGGAAGGGACATCAGTCTCTTCTTGTGACGGACAAGTTATGAGACATTTGCAGTCACTGAAATACACCAGTACACCAGTGACCCTGCACTTGCCCAGAGATATAACATGCACTTTTATTATGCTGCCTTTTGAAAATCAGCCCCTTAGGGTTGGTCCTGCTTTGGGCAGGGGGCTGAACTTGATGACCTCCTGAGGTCTTTTCTAGCTCTATGATTCTAACAAAATGGGGGTGACGTCTCTTGGCTCCCCCTGCATCTCTGTGCAGCTACAGATTCCCAATGGGAAGAGGGGTTCCACCTGAGGCTTTCTGGAGGGCTAGAAATCATGCAAAGTCTCCAGAGGAACCCTACAGCCTAAACAGATCTGCTAGAAGCTTTTCCCAACAGGCCAGTCCCCATCAGATACCCAGGAGCAAACCTTCAAGCAAGAGAAAACGAGCCAAGTGAGCCACCTGCTGGTCAAATCAAGGCATGGCTAAGGATTCTAGTTCAATAGAGCCTCATCAATCCACACCAACACTGCCCATAATTTGCAATGTGTTCCCCTTTCCCTCAGTGCTCCGAGAGCAGTCTCCACACGCTGACCATTACTCTTCCAAACTGGCAGGATATTCCCATGTACATTATGGAGCTTTGCCACAAATAATCAGAACTATTCTGCCAGATGCATCAACCCACTAACGTTCCAATTAGCTTGGCTTTTCCCCCTCATCTGCTCTCCAGCCATTCACAATGTGCCACACAGCCCTCAGTGCAACTGAGCGAGGTTCCCTGTAAAGTGCAAATTTGTCTTTTATCTCACACCGGGGGCAATGTGCTGAGATCAAGATCCTTCTGGGAAGACCCCTGACCCTGCCTCTCTTTCCAGGCAGGAACTACTGCATCAGGCTTGTGCACATGGAGAAGTTGCAGTGAGAAAGAACAGACACACACAAGCAAATGTTGTGGGACGGGGGGGGGGGGGGGGGGGAGCTGTGCTCAGTTCCCCCCTCCATTCTGTGTCTGGCCTGTTTGCATCCTGC